CATATTGATCACTAATACGACATTCATTCTTGACGTCACGTGAAGAGTTCTCACTTGCTGGTACTATAATGATAACAGCTTTTCTCTGTCAGATCACTGTTGCGAGGCCGAAGTAAAATAACCGCTCCACCAGGAAGCCTTCAAAAATTTACCTTGGGGGTGCTGTACGGCAGAGGGCGGGAATGCATTCGTTATGAGCGGACAGCGTCTTTATCTTATATTTTAGACACGCGAAAAAAAGGTAATCCCCTACGTTTGCATATAGGACCACCTTGTTCAAAAACGGCGCCTGCTCAAGAGGTGAACGCAGGTTGTGCCTTCCAGAAGGTCCGAGGTTTATTGGGTGTGAAATGTCAATTGGGCAGTATTGGTACCAAACTTTTAATTTCTAGGAACTTGGAAACAGCCAATGCCATCAGGTTTCGGCGTTCTGAAGGCAATGGCAGCCGATCCGTACTCGGGACCATGGGGAGGAAAGAAGTGCCGCGATTCGCCGATACAGACGAAGCGTGACTGCTCATGCAAAGATGGAGAGTGCATGGCCACGGACAAGTACGGTAATATAGGAGTTGACTTTAGACTCTTTCCGCTTATAACTCTGATAAGAGATATAAGCCTCTGGCAAAGCACGAAGTGGCGATGAGACGAGATCTCCTTAAACACGACCACTCTAACGGGTCCCATCATTATCAAACTTCACATGCCTCCTTAATCTGCCCTCGACCCTGAGACCAACGGAAGCCACCAGGTGATTGGTGTTAACCTTCAGTGCCAATGGGTCTTGTATTACTTCTTCGCTGTTTCGTGGATGTAAGCCAGCTCGGGAGTCAGTTGCGAGAATTCACTATCGGTACTTTTATTTTTTCCCATTTTTACTAAAGGGCTAGTTTACACCTGAAAAAAAATCGTGTTTGACCTTCACTACTCTCTCATACCTTCCTGGGCTATTTTTTTGAAATGGTTAAATGCATGATATAAGGTGCCCTGAGGATCAACATACGTGTGGCATTTTCAAACCATTTGCAAAGGATCTCTCAGACC